AACATTAAAATTAAAAAAATGTAGATATAAACAAATTTAAAAAAAATAAATTACAATAAATAAAAACTTTAAAAATTACAAAGTATAATTATTTAAAAAAAAATCAACAATAATAATTAATTGAAAAGTAAAATTAAAAATTAAATAAAGAAAAAAATATAAATTTAACTCAACCATAATTTAAAATTAACTTAAATATAATTTAAACTTAACTTTATCATATTTTAAATATTATCTGAATTTAATTAATCTAATCCAATCTAATCCAATCCAATTATAACTCAAATTTAATCCATTTTAGCTTGATTTTAATCAAATTTAACTTTAATAATTCTAACTTAAATATTTATCTGATCTGATCTAAATCTGATCCTAATCTGATTATAATTCAAATCATTACTATAAGCTTTAATTATTTATTAAAATTAAAAGTTTGAAATAAAACAATTTTATAAAAATCTAAATTTACAATTAATAAAAAAAAATAATTAAATATGATAAAATTCAAATAAATTAAAAAAGCTAATAAGTTATTATTATAAATAGTTCTGTAAATTATTTTATATTTATAATTAGTAATATAATAGTTAGATAGGATTTTATCATAAAGTGGTAAAATTCTACATTGCTTATTATAAATTGTAAAATAATTTATAAAGTTTAGAATTAAAGATTTATTAAAAATAATTAATTTGAATTTAAATTTGCATTATAGTTAGATTATTTATAAATAAAACTTATATATAAATTAGCAATAAAATCAGAATTAAGGTTAGGATTAACTTAGAATTAGCTTATTTATTAAAAAATATCATTTATGAGTTAATATTAGGACTAATATTAGAGTTAGTGATAAAATTAGATTTAATTTATTTATAAACAATACATCATTTATAAATTAGAGTTAAGATTAGGGTTATATTAGGATTAAGGTTAAAATTAGAATTAGATGATCAATTAAAAAATCACAATTAAGGATTATTTATAAAAATATTATTATTTATTTTAAAATTTATTAAAACTTTATATTTATCTGACTTATAGACCTCACCTGGGTAGGACCAATAGCTTAGCTAAAAATAAAATACTATTGTTCTTATTATAAAAAATGTTATATAACACCATTCAGGTCTGGTTACTTAGATCAGATATTAGACTTATAGATGAATTTGGGTCTCAAAAATTATCAGGTTATCTAGATTTTTATCAATAAAATACCAGAAAATGGTCAGAACTTTAAAAATTACCAGGCTATTAGATTGTTATTAATAAAATACCGTGTAAAAAAATCAATTTAAGAATAACAAAAAAAAAAATTTAAAAAGCAATAATATATCTGAAATAAATAAACAATCATATTATAATAAAAGATTTTAAAAAAATATATTTTAAAAAAATCAAGAAATAATATATTATTAAAATAATTAAAAAAATAATAAATTTGTAAAAATACTTAAACAAATAATTTAATAAAAATCAATTTTTAAAAAAATAAAAAAAATAAATTATTTGAAATTTATTAAGAAAAAAATCATAATATAAAAAATATAAAAAAAAAATAATCAATCGCAAGTCAATTTTGATTGGAGGTTTTGAACATAGTAAATCATATGATTCGTGACGCGATTGAAACATGTAGTACCGTAATTAAAACATTTTTTTGAAATCAATAAAATTTATAATGTATATTGCAATACAGTATTTGCTATTTTTATTCTTTTTAAATTACAGTTGTAAGTTTTGTGTTGACTTTGCTGATTAAAAATATTTTAAGTTATTTTCAATAGGTCTATTTTATTTTTATTACATTAGCTTTTTTCAGGTTTCATTTTGTATCTAAATTTAAATTTCTATTTTTTTACTTTTCGGTTCGATCGCTTTGGTCTGTAATCCATCTAATAATCATCGCTTATATTATTGTGAATCAAATGTTTTATTATTCGATGAGTTAGTGAAATATAACATCAAGAAAACTTTTGATGCAAAGTACTCTGCAGATCTTACACTTAGTATGTCCCGTAAATAAAACGTAGACTTGCGACGGGTCGTAGATCGATGAAGTACTACGGCGCATTCTACGATAAAAAATACTTAAATATTTATTAATGAATTTTCACCCTAGCTGATTAAATTTAAAATTATTCATAAACAATAGAATATTATTATAATTTAAGCTTAATTTATAAAATAACGTTTTTAAAAAATTAATTAATACATATTCCGACAATTGTCCATCAATTGCACTGATTTAAGACGGTCTCTTGACTTGACTTATGGACCGGACTGGTCCAAATACAACAAAAATAAAGATCAATAACAGCGTGCAAAGCTTTGAATTTGGTTTTGTTAATATGATCTTTAAACAAAATTAAAAGGATATATGACGGAACTCCATTTTTCATAACATTTTTTGGCTTTTACAACTACTATTATTTCCTTTCTAATTAGGTCAAATACTTCGGTTAGCTTTTAAATGGAGCAAAAGTAATAATAATAGGCTTAGGCGGAGGATAAGAAAATGATATTGCTTATTGCACAAAATATGTAAAAATATTTTAACAGATTTAACAAGTTCCTTTTAGAACTTTATAATACCAATAAAATTATATTTTGATATATATGAAATTTAAAAAGTGACCCAGTCGGGTGAAGAATTTAACAAGCGTGACTTTAATCATGTAGCTATTGATTTAAGAAAAATCAAATGTTCAACGAAATTTATGAATATGGATTGAATTTTTTTCGTAATGGATAATCCCGAATATACTTCTATAAATTGTAATTCTTTAATTTATTGGAATTTAAATCACTTAACTTTACTAGATGTCGGAATTTTTGATTGTCAATCAAAACTTTTGATTTTTAAACCAGTAATTTTTGTGATATTATCTAATGCTTAATGTATTACTACATTTGATCTTTCCGATCAGCAAGATAAAATTAATTAAACAATTCCATAAATAATATCGATCCATGAAACAACATCATAATTTCTATCATTTGTCAAATATAGTTAGACCTTGTAGATCGACTTTGGTCCCAAAATGTTCCCGAGCCAAAATGTTCGCCTAAATAATTGTCCACGTGCCAGAATTGCCCTCTTGGCATATTGTTCTTACCATAAACCAGTGTTGGCGTTTGGCCACGGCCAAGAAATTTTTTGATCATTTGGCCGTGACCAATGGTTAAAATGGCCAAACAGCCAAATTTATCACTAGATATTAATAAATGTATTAATTCTTATTAAAATTTGATTGGCATTTGGCCGCGGCCAAGATTTTTTTTAGCCGGCCAAATGGCCAATGGCCAAACCTTGGACCAAACGGCCAAAGGGCAACACTACCAAACATCATCAAAATTTTAAACGATGGGTTTCTTTTGGAAATTAAATAGACTTTTATTTTTTTGTATTCATAACATATTCTTTTCCCTTTCCTTTTAATACTTATACAATTATTTTTTTATTTCCCTCTCTGATAAATTTAAATTTAGTTTTAATTTGATTAGACATATTTTGTATTGATTTGATATTCAGGAAATGTAGATCGCCGGCGTTAAGACAACACTTGATTAATTTAATTTAATTTTACTACATCAATCATACTTGCTTAATATTGAAACCTTCTGCTTACTTTTTCCTTTGTTTAAAAATATTAACGTAATGAATTGAACGCAGAAATACCTTAAAACAGATGTCTGCAAATTAATTTTGAATTAAATACTTGTGTTAATTTAGAATGACTTGCGTCACAATATTACATCCGAATATCAAGTGATGATCTTAGTGATCTTCAGTTCATATATTAATTTGAAAATCTTTGAATATAAAAAGGTTGTCTTTAAACGACCGTAAAAATGTAGATTTATATTCTGAACTTTCCACTTATTTAATTTATACTTTGGAATTTTGTGAACTTTCGTCCTTAAATTCTTCTTTAGTAAAATAAATCATGAGGTTCTTCAACAATTACATGATATCTTTATTAATAACTATCTTCCTCACGGCAGTTTCTTATAGCAAAATACTTTCAAGTGACTCTTTTAAAGCAACCAATATGAAATCATTTCCTCAAAAGTTCTTAAACAAAGGATTGGTATGATTATATAACTTTTAATATATTCACAAACTCAATTGAGGTAGTTTCTGCACGTGAATAATTAAATTCGATATAAATTCCTTCCCATATAATTACACTTACATTACTAATTATGCATCTCTTTTATAGCGCAGTATATTGAACAGCAATGAAGTAATTATCGTCTATTTCTCACTTAACAATATGTATTTATCCATTTAACTAATAATGTTTTCAATATGTTGAATATTCAAGGGTGCAATCGACTGTGGTACACACCGCTGCGATGCGGTAATATTTTTTATTTTCCACTTTTTACTAATTATTAATATTACTAACAACTTGCTTGGAATTAGGACCAACAATGTGCTTCGAACAATTCTTGCATCCCAACGGTAATTAACTTACAGTATATATCACCTTCAATGTTTACTTTAATAGTACCTTTACTAAACGTGTTCTGTCTGTTACACATTACATTCAAGAGTGCAACCGACTGTGGAAGAGGAATCCACTGTTTAGCGGTAATATATTTTATTTTCCTAATTTTTATTGATTATTATTATTAACAGCTTGCTTGGAATTAGGGCCAACAATGTACTTCAGATACTTTTTGCATGCCAAATGTAATTGACTATATTTCCACCTTCAATGTGAATTTAAATATTAACAGTACCTTTACTAAAATTTGTTCCATTTATTGCTATTTCAAGGGTGCAATTGACTGTGGAAATGGAATCTACTGTAATCCGGTAATATTTTTAATTTCCCATTTCTCATTGATTATTTTTAATAACAACTTATTTGGAATCAGGGCTTAATATGTACTTCTGGTGTATTTTGCATATTATGGGTAATTGTCTTATATTCCCACCTTCTTGTGATTTTAAATATTAACGGTCCCTTTACTAAAATTTGCTCCATTTATTGCGCATTCAAGGGTTCAATTGACTGTGGAAATGATATATCCTGCGAAGCGGTAATATATTTTTTATTATCCCACTTTTTTTGATTATTATTACTAACAAGTTGATTATAATCAGGGCAAACAATGTGCCTCTAACAATACTTGCATACCAT